AAAGGATTATAAACAAAGCAAAGATGGCGGGCTAATGCATGTGGTCAAAAGGTTTGAGCATAGCTATGGTGCGGGAGGTCCCTTTGCTGGTCATGCTTTCCCCCTAACTGCGCCCACAGCGGTAAAAAAGAAGGGAAGAAAATCCATTAATGCAGTAGAGAACGCAAAGGTCCTAAATAATGGTTTGCTATTCGTTTTATTACTATTGTTACTTGTGGTGCTACTATTGTTGTTGTTATTTGTGTTTCTGATATTGATGTTAGTACTGATATTTGAGCAGTTGTTAGTAGTAGTAGTATTTATAAAATGTAGAATGAGCGAGTATGTTCCGAATTCCTAAAAATTATTATGAGTTAAAACAACTCATTCACTTAACATTACTAGAATCTGTTTTTAAAATAAAAGTTCTGTTCTTTCGCAGCACTTTTTTTTTTGATAATCACGATTTACCTACCTCGGCGTGACTGAATACTTTATTTCTAAATCCGTTCTGATATTTTTCTCAAAAATCTAACGTGGCGGATTTTCTGGGAATTTTTTTAATCTTTCCGTTAATCCCCAGCTGCACAAACCGACTTTATATCATCGTAACGATGTGCAAAATTTTAAAATTTTTAAACGCATCAAATTTGGGTTTCACAGACGTATATTTTGTCAGATGTACGGTTGCTGTCTTCTTAATCTTATACATACTAAACAAAGTATCTTAAACTTAGTTCAGCCTAACTTCTTACTGTCTCTTTGCAGGAAACCGCAACTAGAGTACCAAACATTTTTCGCGTAGATAGAACCAGTTGTAGTATATTTCTTTGATCAAAATATTCAGTCAGTAGCGATCCGTGTTCGATGTCCTACTTTTCAGTGCAGGTTATTCACAATCACTAGCAAAACCGATGGTTCATGTTCCGAAGTCCGTGCTTAACTTCAGATTTGTAATTTCTCTGTTTACTTGTTGATTTACACCTCTGATTCCTTCAACTTAAGTAGCCATCATAGAACGGCATTGCCTCCCTTCAAGTGATATTCTTACTTCTTTAGACATTAGTGGCGCACCCTTTGTTGGCATCTTATTGTCTAAATAATTTACTTCTATTCCAAAGAACACTCACTTTTCCAAGCACAATCTCAAGCTTGCTGCTCGTAGTCGGTGAAGAATTTCTATCACGTTTTTTAAATCTTCTTTAAAATTTTTGACCATCGCGACAATGTTGCCCAAATACACTAAGCATGTCATCCAATACAATCTTTTTACACTTATCACCAAAAGATGTTAGAAGAGGTATATTCATTTAGACAAAACGATTGCAAAGTCCAGAAGGAAGCTTCACAAAGTATATATGTTTTTGTTCAGCATCAAGCTGTAAATCGATGTAAGTATGTTCGTGTGTCCGGTTGTCCGTTGTCTAATGTCTGTTGTAAACCTACTCCCGGCCGCAAAAATGAAACTATTGACTTCATATTTGGGAGAATATGTGTATTGTATGAGTTATGCTGTAATAACTCAATTTTATAATGCGTCATAAGTAAGCCTTTTTTTCCAAACCTTTATAACGCACAGAAGCAAGCTTCAAAAACCTTAGGTGGTGTATAAACTTCTGGCTAGTTTCAAATTCGGAACGTCCCTAGGCATGTCTATTCGTCTCTCTGTCCGTCTGCGAAACTGTGTAGTATCTGCGGCAAACATTCTCCCGTACGCGAAAATTAAGATATCGCCTACAAACTTGCAAAGGAGTTTGAAAATGATGCAAACTTTCTAAAGGACACGGCTTCAATGCATACATGCCTAGGTCACAAAAACTTTGAACATCGCAGTCCGTGTATTTTGCTTTCTACGCATAAAGTACAACACATACACCATATACATTTGGACTTATATTCTGAAAAGAGGAAAAATTTGCCGCACCTACTCAATATTATAAAGTATGAAAATATATTTTTTTTCCGTTTCCTAGGATAAGAGTAATGGGTATAAAAGGTTCGTTCATAATCGAAATGAATTTTCTTATTTGTTAATATTCTGCCCATTAGAAATGGCAAAAACAGCGGCAGTTTTTTTAAAGAAGTTTCATATAGTGCGCTTTAATTTATCCTTGGAATGCCTGCTTCATGATCTGTTACAAATTTTCTTTTAAAATGGTTTAGATTTAATACTTAGACCGGAATTAAATTTTTGATTGTTTTGGCAAAGGATTTTCCAATAATGTCGTTGTCCATTGCCCTTTATTCAATTCGGGAACACACGTTCGGCTTAGCTCGAAATCTCTAATAACTTTCCTCCATAGTACCGCTTCAGAACTTGGAGGAACTTTTTACTGTTGTTTGATTACAATCTACAATACCGGAAATCCGCTGTTGTACGAAACAGTCTATGTCTAAAATTGATACTTTAGTATTTAGCCTTCGAAACCAAATAATAACGTATGGTTTGCGAGAAAGTCCATCTCATACTCACAGAAGCGAAGCAAATAGAAGTGTTTGTACTAGCCCTGCTCCGATGGCAGCTTCCTCACGCATTGCCGTCCGAGACCAAATAATTGTTTAAATTTACAAATGCCTATAGTAATCTTAGTGAGAGAATGTAATGCTCATGTGACTGACCTAATGAATTATTTTTCGATATTCTTACTTCGTGTCGATAGCCTGGGTCTATCGCAAATTATAGTCAACCCGCGCCTAATTATGGGGATCGTTTTTAGTGTAACAGCAGATAGTCAGTAGTAAACGGCCATCATTCTGCATTATCTAGGTATGGGACGTGACATTTATGTTATGTATTTTTATTGCCTTTGACAGCTTTACCATCATCATTCAATAGCTTTTTCTTTGCCACAACGCAAAGTTTGTAGTTTAATTGTTGAACGTAAGAGACACCATAAAATTTAAACATTTCCGATGTATTTGCACTGACTACATCCATCAAAGGATGTGATGGCAAATTTCAGCTATCTATCTTAATTTTTGTGATTGCGACAAAAAGATGATCAATTTGATCCCTTTGAGAATTAAGAACATGTCATCGCCATTTAGAAAAGTAGACCGCTCGGTAGTTCTAGTATTAAAGCGTTTATGTCATTTCCTAAGCCATAGCTATCTTTTCCCTTCCTGCCTTACATTTTTCTTCCAGAACTTCTATTTTGGCTTTACATGTTTTTTACTTACACTTTGTTTCTAGCCCTTTCATTTGACACTAAATTAGCATTGATTTTTTCTGCAGAAACTCTGATTTTTAATGCCATTCTTAACTCGCGTTCGCCATTTTGACTGCTATTTCTTCCTTTTTTTCTTTTTCACAACTGCTGCTTGATCTAGTCCACTCTGAGTGCTTCCAATCGTATCATTGGTCTCGCTTTAAGTCGTTGTCCTTTTTCTAACGCCAATGTTATGTAAAATGGATCCAAACGTGCTTTCTATCCGATTCAAATTTATGCTCATGCGATCGTATGGAAAAATTCGCAAGTAAATGATTGACTACTTTCTTCGAAACCAAAGAAATTGCTTTTCACAACCGATCGGCATTACATTCAGCTTAAAATGTTATCATGTGGCTATTATTAACAGACCTGAGTCAACAAATATTTTGATATATAGTTTTGGTCTCCGCCAAAATTCGCTGATGATCGTAACTTGTGCTACTAGATATGGAAAGAAAGGTTGTATTGTAGCCAAACATTTAGAAGAAATAATATCCTCTTATATGATTGTACAAACTATAGAGCAAAATAACTTTAACCTACTTAAAACGGTATTTAAGAACTAAACCTGAAAGCAGTTAAAAGGGTTGAATGGAAGAATTGTCTGTCCTACACGGCGTCGATAAAATTTTTATTTGTTGCTTGTATTTGTTGTTGTGCTTCTAACAAAATATATCGACATAGCATGAGTTGGAACAAAATTGCCTTTGTAACTATTAACATTAACGTAGCACTTACTGAGATTAAGATTGTACTTTATTCACTGGTTTCGTCATCTGCAAACACCTAGAGTTTAGGTGATAAATAGAAGTACAGGAGCTGCATTATTAAGCTCTTAAATTTAAATATGATTTTCAAATTAAATTCCTATTTTGAACCACTCACTCTTTTAGAAAGTCGTGTGTATAACCCAGTTCCTTGGGGAGTCTTTATAAAGACGTAAGGTGTAGAGACGACAGGTACATGAAATCGCTTGAGACCGCTTTCATGGCCATCTGCTGTAAACAGTATCTTGCAATTGCAAAACATTCTGTCAAACGTAGATGTGTTAAAAGATCGACACTTCTTGCCCACTAATCTTTTAGCTTCGGGTTAACCGCAAAGAGGAGCCTATTCTCAAAATAGCAAACCTAAGGAAAGAAACAATGAACACATGCTTAGAATCCTTAAATGAACAAGTAATGGCCCATAGAAACTAAATTAATATACAGGTTTGATTAAGCAGTAGAAATGTCTACGCTAGGTTTTCAAGGTGAGCTTTTACCCAGTTATTCACATATCGACTTTTCAAAATGAGACAATAAATGTAGGAAGTGACTGAAAAAATGGGCCGATCCACACCATTTTTAATAGCGTTCACCCTTGAGCTAGAACACGGCATTGTACTAAATTTTATTAAAATATCTCAAAAATCGCGGCCTATAGGTCGCACAAAAGAAAATAAGAGGGACAGACAGACAGACAACATTATAATTATTTATTAATCGATTAGTATGATAAAAGTTTGCTCTATCTCAAGTCCTATTGCATGCATCCACACAAATTTCATACAGCCTTGTATAATAAGTAATGCAGAGTATAGAGAACACCGTGTTTAAACGCGTAGGGTATGATTTCGTGCTGAAACCCGTGAAAAGAAAAATGTTATGGTTAATACTGAACTAGCTCTATAAACAAAAAATACAGCTACGAAATGTTCATTACTAAATTGCTTTATTTGTTCCAATATTAGCATAAATCGCATTCCACCCGAATTTCTCGCTTGTACGGCCATTTAATTATTTTAAGTAGGTCAAATCCAATATTTACCTGTTACTTCTAACACCACGGCCAAATTGATTTTAGGCTCTGTGTTTACTTGACATTCATAAATACCAGTATCCCGCTGTTGTGCGTATTCAACTTTTAGGTCCCAGTCATCGCTGCCGGGTGGATGAACAACAGCGAAACGTTGGTCACCAGTGTACGTATAAATATTGGTAGTTAAAATATGCAGATCTCTTTTGCGCATCCACGATACCTAAAACATATACACAATCATTATTGAAAAGTATGTTTCTTGAACGAAAAATAAATATTTCGGACAAGATATGTCTTCTCGTTTAAGAATTTGCTAAAAAAAAATTTTTTCGACATCTTTCGTATTTAGTATCATGAACATAATACATCATTTAATAAATCCGTGGAATGACCCATTTTAAATTTTTTCATTATTTTACAAGAACAAGAGAAACGGCACCAATGCAACTGTAACTTGTAAACTAATGGTCGGATGTCACCAAGCTTTGACGCATTTTGCTTGAAGCTTAGTGCTATTTAAAAATCATGTACATGCGTCAATAGTTGCGACATCTATGCGTAATCCAACGAGCTTATTGAGCGATGTGTTGGGTAAACCAATTAAATTACGAATATACCAACTATGTTGTTCGGCATATATCGAACACTCGATTACACTTAAACTAAAATTTATAGAGTGTTAACAGGTGGCAAATTTGAAAAATTTTTGTATCTGTACTACACATTAGTTTTGGGTGCTGCCTTCTTATTGAATGCGCTCAAACAATTTCTAAAAAGAAGAAGTAACTTTAAACTGCGTAGATTCACGTCGGAAAAATTCTTATTATACTCTCCTCTTATTTCGCAGTACTATTTATATGCATAGAAGAAAACAAAACGAAAATTGTGGGTCATATATTAAACAAGTTTAGAACCAAAGGTAATTCTCCGAGGCATGACACTCATTGTTTTTATTTTGAACGTCCAAAAATGAACAAATGAGTTCCAAAGCGGAGTTTAACAAACTATATACTCGGCTAATTTAAAGATGTACTTACATCCCATATACAAATAATATTCTTTCTCTAGAATTAGCATTTGTTGCACAATCTTTCAATTACATAGACAAAACGCTAGTAGGTCTCGCGCCAGGAATTTTCTCATTCTTTACTTCTATTTCATTTCGTATAAAAATTTGTAATATGTATTTGACCCTAACCGCACCGAGTGTGTTTGCAACAAATAATACTCTATAAGAATTAGAGGAATAATAACATGTTGTTATCTGTGCTTTTATTTTAATGTCATTTATTTATCTAAAGATGCTACATGTATAAAAAGGAATTCTGTACCTTGAATTGAAAGTTGTTTATAATTTAAATGTATTTATTTATCCAAACAAGCTGCATGTAAACATAAAACATTACGCACAGGCCACATATCTCTTGATTTCGAATTACGTAATGATAAAAGTGTCTTTAAAAATAAAACCAGTAAGAAAATTATGTTTGATTGTGAGGGAATTTTTTGCATTCACAACCTTTATTTGAAAGAAGACTAAGAAGACAAAAGAATTAAAGCCTCATATTTTGCAGGTATTAGATCGATTATTATTATTTCCTTTTTTGTAGAATACATGTAGAAACTTCTGTAGCGCCTTTATTGCAGTTTTTGAGAAACGGCCATAACATCCAGAAAGCAGGATGTTCTCAAGCTGTATTGCGCTGTAAGCGTGTCATTAATTTCTAACGTACAAGAGCTCCTAATGTTTTTGTTGAATTTAAATTCGATAGCTTACTTCTTGCGGTCAGAAAAATGTTTAGAACAGCCATAAGAGTTCTGCATAAATTTTACTTCAGTTCATGGCTCGTAAAGAAATTATTAAATGTGATACTATAGCTGATTCTAAAATGGCATACACTGTTCGCCAACATATTGAGTGCTTTCTGTCCTACATACAGTATTCTTTTTTGATTGTGAACCTATGAGACCCATTGTAATGAAATCGGCTGCAAAAGCGAAAATGTTTAATTTGGGGTCAGGACTGGCTTTAAATTTACAAAAATTTGTCGTTAACTGTTGATTTAAAGTAAAATAAAAAAAAATTTGGAAATTCAATATGAAATTCTCAAAGTACATACGTTCAAAGTCCAAATGAGCCCCAAACGCTTACTCTGGTTCGATTCGGGTTAACTATTTTTTGCATTTAGTACCTAATAAGCCCCCAATTTTTTGACGGTGGATGTAAAAATCTAAACTTATTTTCCAAGTTTTTTAACAACTTATAATTTAAATATTTTATGTAATGAGATGGTCTTAGCAAAATTTATTATTTGAAATAACTTGAGTGAGTGATGCATTCCCACTTGCTTCTGCAATAATTGCTGCTTTAAAAATAGCAGTGGTAATTCCCATTGGATATCTGTTTTTAGTTATTTTCTTTATTTACGAAGAGTAATTAGAAGTCCTTAATTTGCTAAGAAAAAACCCATATCCACTCCAGTCGTTGGTAATAGTATCGTACGCAGACATGGTTAATTCGCGCCCTGCTGTATTTAAACCTAAAATACATATATAGAATGTCATAATTTATGCTTACATATGTACAGTGTTGCATCGAAAACTCATTCGCGTTTTATCGAAACGTTGTTATAAGATATCCTGTAATAATGTAAATCAGTACAATCTGATGGCTGTTGTGTTGCAACCAAGTTTTAAGGTGTAAAATTTTATGAATAAAAGTTTATTATCAAATTTCGTTCCAACTGTAGATATGAATGAAAAACTAAGTTAATTTCAGGTTTTTATAAAAAAAAAAAAAAAACGTGAAGTTCAATAGTATAATAAGGTCCAATAAGTAAATATTAGCTTGGGGAAAAAGAAATCCATTATTTTTATATGAACTTCAGGACTTTATCTGCATAATAGATTATTCAGAATTTTGTTAAACTTCATTACCTCGGATGAATTCCCCGTGACATCTGGCGTACCTCAAGGCAGCCACTTAGACCCATCTTATTTAATTTATACTTTATTGACTTGCCCTCGGTGGTTAAATCGAGCTAGATCTTAATGTACGCTGATAACGTGAAACTGTTTCCTTCCTTCTCTGTAGAATCGCAATCACATCAGCTTCAAAGTGACTTGAATAATGGTTGCATGGTGCTCTTTGAATCTTCTGAAACTAAATCTAAATTAATGTAAGAAGCTTTCTTTCTCAAGAAGAAAGTCAGTCATTACTCAGTATTTCATAGATTCGCATAAGTTGGAGTACGTCGATTCGATCACAGATTTAGACGTTCTATTTGACCATAGGCTAAGTTTTAACTTGCATTTCGAGCTCTCGTTAAGCAGAGCTAGGTTCGCGCTTGGTTTTATAAAAAGGTGGTCCAAAGACTTGATCATCCTTACATTACGAAAAGTCTGTACATGTGTTTGGTTAGTCCCATACTCGAGTATGCTTCCGTTGTGTAGTTTCCTTCATATAGGTGCTACGTAGATTTAATTGAATCTGTTCAAAGGCAATTCTTGCTGTTTGCCCTTAGGATTTTGGGTTGGGACCCGATTGCCTCTCTTCCCCCCTAAGAAAATAGGCTGCTTCTATTATCCTTACCTTCACTTGAGAAACGTAGATTTGTTCTTGGGGTTTCCTTCTTAATTAAAGTAATAAATAATACAATTGACTCGCCCGCATTACTCTAGGCACTTTATCTTGATTAAGCTTAGTCAATGTAAACACAATTATGGGGGGTTTAACCCGTTCAGAGTTGCTTGTAGAAATCTAAATGATGTCTATCACATATTCTCATTATCAGATGCTTTAAAGTCTATTAAAGCAGCTTTGCTTAATATGCGCGATTTAGCTATGTCGTACTTAAACTATTATTTCATTCTTAATATCTCATTTTTTATTTAAAATAATATTGTTGTTATCGTGTTGGTTGCCAACCTTACGCATGTTTGCAATGGTTTAGGTGTTCACTAGCAACCAGGATCTATTCTTGTTGCGGGTGTGCTTCTGTGCCAGCTGTGTACATGCTTTTGTTTTCTTTTTTTTTCTCTCTCTTTTTGTTTATATATACATGAATTATTGTTTTTAACTTTATAATTTATATTTAAACTTTGCTATTATTATTCTTCTTTTTTTCTCCCTTTTTGTAGCATACTAGTTTTAAAACAATTAGCATAAGATTTTCTATTAAGATGCACTGAATTCGACTGTAATTTTTTTTAGTTGAATTTCATGTTTAAACGGGTAAAGAAATATATATACAGTGAAAGCTCCTTATTCGCGTTTCCTTTATTCGCGGTTTCACTATTCGTGGATTAAAAAAATGCGACCCAATTCCCATATTCGCGGCTGTAAACTTGAAACTATGCGTCCAAACGTAAAAGTGACATTTTTACTTCCCAACACGACGGCTTTGCTTCAACCTATGGACCAAGGAATAATCCAGGCCTTTAAACTCTATTACATTAGACGAATCTTCAAAATCATAAAGGATAATATGGAATGTAATTATGATATGAATGTTATGGAATGCTGGAAGAAATTTGACGTAGCAAAATGCATCGTAAACATAAGAGAATCATTGGAAGAACTGAAACCATACACATTGAAGTCATGCTAGAAAAAACTGTGGCCTGCCCTGACTGGGGAAAATGACGAAGAATCTGTGAAAGTTCAAACTTTGACTGCAAACATAGTCGAAATCGCGAATGGAATACGATTCATAACTTGGCTTCAGGGAGGAACCTAATAGGACGTCAACATTATACTAAGCAAGAAAATAAGGCTAGTTGGCAGTCAAATCTTGAGCTTTGTAACCGGACAATGACTGTTATGCGTTCTAAAAAGAAAAATTCTATTCTAAAATTGTCTCTAATACGAACTCAGAAAATACGTGAATCATTTAGTACCCAAAATGCTGCCAATGATGCATATTTGCTATTGAGCCTTGATGTCAATGCGCTCAATAACTGCTTTGTGCAAAACCAACTTCAGAATCCACATATCGATCGTGGAATTTCTCGATCATTCAGCGGGCCAAGTTCTTACTCTTTTTCTAATATTAATAAAATGGATCTGTCAAGAACAGTTTAAGTTAGTTAAATCGATTGATATAGCGGTCGACGGAGTTTGTGTTAAGTTATTTAAGCTAATATTTTCATATATTAGTTTGGGGAAAAAGAAATCCATTATTTTTATATGAACTTCAGGACTTTATTTAACATGCTTCGGATTGTCCGATTTGGGTCAAATATGCACCGTTTTGTTGTATGATTTGTTGCCATTTTAAAGGTAACTTCAAAATGCCTCTCTCATAGAAGTCCTGGTCTCTATTTGCAAAAAACTCTAGTAGTCGATTTTCACAATTCTCCGTAGATTCCAATTTTTTATCATTAAAGAAATTTTGCAATGCAAGAAAAAGATGATAATCGCTTGGTGCCAAATCCGGACTGTATGGCGGATGCATTAAAACTTCCCAACCAAGCTCCCGAAGTTTCTGGCGAGTCACTGTAGATGTGTGTGGCCTAGCGTTGTCCTGGTGGAACACGACACCTCTCCTGTTGGCCAATTCTGGCCGTTTCTGGTCAATCGCTATCTTCAAACGGTCCAGTTGTTGACAGTAGAGAGCAGAATTTAGCGTTTGGCCATATGGAAGCAACTCATAATAAATAATCCCCTTCCAGTCCCACCAAATGCATAGCAAAACCTTCCTGGCCGTTTGAGGTGCTTCACCGCTCTTTGACCACGATCGTTTTCGCACAGGGTTATCGTATGTGATCCATTTCTCATCTCCAGTCACCATCCGTTTAAGAAATGGGTCTATCTCATTTCGTTTGGCCAAAGCTTCGCAGATGGAAATTCGATCCATCATGTTTTTTTCTGTTAATTGGTGTGGCACCCAAACATCGAGCTTCTTTTTGAAACCAGCTTTATGTAAATGGTGTAAAACTGTTTTATGGTCGATTTTTAGCTCCTGGGCGATGTTACGACTGCTAACATGCCGGTCAACTTCGATCATTTCTCCGACTTGATCGACATTTTCGACGACCGGCCTACCTGTGCGAGGTGCATCTTTAACATCAAAAATTCCTGAACGGAATCTACGAAAACAAAATCGCACATAATTGGCTGTTACAGTATCGGAACCATAAACACCATTCACAATTTTAGCCGCCTGGCTTGCATTTTCGCCTTTGTCAAAGAAAAACTGTAAAATGTACCGAATTTTCTCTTTGTTCACTTCCATTTTTAACACGCTGTAACTCACAACTGAATGCACCAAACAAAAAACATCAAAAAAATTTTTTTTACTGCGAAATGTACAGTATGTAAATGTACAGAATCGGAAATTGTTTGATCGATACTTTAAGAGAAATCTATCAGTGCAGCCATCTACCGAAAAAAAATTTAAAAAGAACAATCAAAAATTTAATTTTCATCAAAAATTAAAACCAATCTATTTTTCTTTTCTTTTTTTTTTTGCTCCATGTTGATTGAAACTCCCCTTATTAACGATAAAATAAAAGAAAATATCAATTAAAAAAACAGAAATTCGTTTTGCTGAAATTGTCTTGTATCGCAAGCGTTCTCCCGCTTGTGATATAAAAAGAAGAGATTTGATTGTATCAATTCCCTTTAATCTACCCTTTAACATAACTTTCAGTTTTATTTTAGCTTAGTGAAGCTTTTTAAAAGTAATCGTTTTCGTTATTTTTTCTCAAGTGGCTCTTTAATACTCTCTAAGCTCGTTGGCGGCCGGAATGGCGACTTGCCTTGATTCTTCACTGTTTTAATGAAATTTGTCGATCTAACTGGCGTTATAAATAACATGCTTTCTTGAGAATAACTTACTCATGCCGTAAGCCTTGCGATCGCCTGTAAAAGCAATGCAATTCCGCCAGCTAATATAACGTACTTCTGGACGTAATAGCATATTCCTTCTTTTCTGTATTTTAAATGTCTGACAAAGTTTATTCTAACATTGCTTTTGCATTTATACTAACATTTTACTTGCGTTATATCCCAATGATCTAACAAAGCTTTCACTAATACTACTTAGCTTATCTTCAGCTTTTCTTAACAGTAGGTTTTGCCCAGCATTATATTACAATCATGTGAAAAATTTTTGACTAATTAACGCATTTGATAACTCCTGTATCAATAGCAGTTCTGGTGAATAACTTTTTTTACATAAGCTGGTGATGTGTTTATAATCATTAGGTTTATTATGGTAAGGGTTATGTTCGTTCGTCATCCAATCGGGATTCACGAGGGCTTTCCGATATAATTTCATGAAATTGTTCATGATATTCAAGATATATAGCGTGCGAAACGTTACTATCAATTTTTCAGGGCATTTTGTTGTTGGCTTCTTTTTTGCTAAATTATTCTATTTTATTCGATATACTGGCGTTTTCACAGTGCATAATTATCAAGGCTTGTTACAAAATGCTAAACATAAAAATGACAATAACTTTTTAATTTGAATCCATGTCTTTCCGTCAGTATTCTGCTTCAGTTTTTGTGAGCATAAAACCTGGAAAAAAATGCATATCTCTCAAGCACGGATCATACAAATCTAAAGCCTCTTACACATTTGTAGCATGGAATATTTTAATCTACACATGCGACGTCTCCGCTTATATACGTTTTATATTAAAAGCAGCGAGTACAGATATAGGAGTACAAATTAGGACGTAACTTAAATTTTAAAAGTATTTGTATTTTAGAAAATATTAATTAATTTCATTGAACACAATTATCACCACCGAAATCGTAAGTCGTAGCACTTACTCCTCTTATATATTTAAAGTTCTTGTCAAAGTAGCTTTCTCGCAGGATAAATTCAAACCTTTTATACAAATGGAATATAAAAAGCGTGAAAGGGTCGGGGTCTTTATATATAAACGTAATGTGGCATTCTCTAAGAATTCTAAATTTCTTAATACAAAGTGGGCTCCTTACAGTTCTATTGCCTTTATTTTTAACTCGGCATTTTAAAACGGCAGTTTCCTCTTCAACGGCAGTTACATTCGTAGTATTCATTTCATCGAAATATGGATTCTGCTGTTTACTTTGCATACCTACGAAATCTGCAAACGTATTGAATATGTATAGAGAGAAGTACGTTATTAAAAAGTCGATGTATATCTATGATCATTTACTTACCATTTACATCTATGTGTGTTGATCCACCAATATGATAAAAATATATATTTAAATGTAAAATTATATAAACAATTGGTCTTAATTTATAAATAAATAAGCAGCGGCCAGATGTAGTTGAAGTTGGTGATGTTCTCATAATTATAGGTTTCGTTCAAGCTAAACTTACAACTAATTTTCCTTCACTTTGAGTGCCTTATATACTATGATTGTAGCTGAAATTAGCGAAAGAAAAGATTAAGAAAAGTCGTAAATATTAGTTTAGGATAGATGTATGTATATTGTGTCTATGCGTAAGCGAATATCAGGAAATGGAAAAGCATCTGGACCAAGTTTTTAAACAATGTTAAGTCAACTAAATCTCATGTACTCATTGAATTTCATAATGATCTGTTATTACCAACGATCTTGGTTTTATAACTCTATTATTAAAATTGCTGAAAATTTTCTGTACCAAATAATTTTTCCGTTTCCTGAAAAAATTTGTTGTGAAGGGTTTTAGAGATTTGTAAATTTTTTTTGCTTAAATTTTTAATAACTCCAAGATATTGTTATATTTTCCAGCAACATTTCATCACATTATGATTGTTTGAATTAAGTATTGTTTTCAAATATGATATACGGATAAATTTGGTTCGATTCCTTAAATCTCGCTCGTTTTTACAATGAATTTGTATGCTTATTATTTAGGCTTTGTGAAGTCAGAAAGTCTGAAGCTTCTTAAAACACATAAATACTATCGTGACCAAAAAATAAGTTGAAACTGTTTATAAAATGACAAATCTTAATTTATTCTTCCAAATTAATTTCACCGACTTTAAAGTACTCCTCGTCACACACAATCGATTTATGCTAGCGTTACTAACAATTTTCGAAACAATATAAGAAATCATTTTCTAGGTTCCCCTGAACCTGACCCAAATAGTTTGTTGGACAATGGTTTTATTTGCTCAATTAAGTCAGAAGGGACCTGTCTCTGAGTTTGTTGAACAAGCAGAAGTTGCGCTGGACTAACTCAGGCGAATGACGTCCCGGTAATGAATAAAAGCACGTAATCTTTCGAGTTCGCATTTCATTCTCTTTGATTTTTTATAACAAAAATTTTAATGTAAAAACCTTATATTAATCAAAACAACCATCCAAGGTTGACCTTTTTTGGGACACAAAACGTTTTTTAGAATGAAAATCGCATCAACAGGAACATTAATTGTCAATCAAAGATATTCGCTCTTCAAATCTTTCATTTATTTTCTTGACGTTAGGTGTTGACGGTAATCGTCTTGAATTCGGTCTCGGCTTTAACAGAAATGAAGTTGTGGAGTCCAAAGGATGGATGAAGTAATCAATTTTTATTATATTAAGCTAAATCACAACAACCAACTAAGAAAGTTATATCCGGCTTTTGTATATGTACCACCATTTGTTTTATCATACTAATTCAGACTTTCCCCTTCCACAGCATGATAGGGTAAGTTGCAAGTTATTTTGGGTACATCAATATCTGGAGTTTTAAAAGATTTAGAAGTTTTAGAATTACTAACAGCTTTTATTTAGAACAAAGCGAGAAAAATGAAAATCATTTGTAACTTTATGAGAACGCGGCCAGTTTCTTTCGTTTTTAGACTAAGGTATCGTCATGTGAGGAATATACAGAATAGTTTTGAATAATATGTATGTGTTTACCTTGCATGCAACGAGTAGGAAATGACAAAAAAGTGAAAAAATGAAAGATTGATCACTTATAACTTTGTGTGGACGTCGCGGATTTGCTCTATTTTTTAAAATTGTAATATGTAAATTGTGTTGCTTTCAATTTTTTTTTAAATGGTTTCATTATTCTACTGGGATACCTACAATTGAAGATTCGGTTCTTTAGCCCCTGCCTTAGACGATGTATGTATTAGTAGAATTGCCAAACAAATAGGTCTCAAAAATATTAAATTCATTGCAACATGTATATTATGGTCTTAGCAAAAATAAATTAAGGAAATTTCATCCTTACATCCTTTATAATTTACAAGTAATAAACAAACATCCACAAACTTTTTTTTTAAGAAATAGACTTGCACTAAGATCATGCTTTACTGCTTCCTTTGACCGATTTGGAAAATTTTCAACACCAACCTGCATGCAAGAATTAAGGGTGTGAAGTTATATTTAAATATAACTAGCAAAGACACAAACTAAAATTTTGTACAGAGCTCTGTAAAGCCGTTAACAGAATTCTGTTAAACGAAGTCTCGGAGGGATTTAGCTCAAAATACAAGTAAAATAGAACTTTTCGCAAATTTTTTTGCAAATTCTTATAAACAAAACATGACTTTATGTAAATTAACTAATATTCGAAACCAAAACTTTTTTACACTATGCCATAAATGAGGTTGATAAAGCGAAAGTTTACGGAGCTACTGTGACCAAACCGTGTCCCTTGAAAAAATGAAACTAGCACAGAGTGAATCCTCTATTAATAGCCTTTCCAACGGTGTGCGGGTTGTATTAAGTTTTGCCCCAAGAATTTTTTTATGGGACCTAGGCTAACATAGGCTAACTTTGAAAATTTCCAAACTTAACATAATGCGGGCTATTATGAAAGTAAAATAATAGTATCATGAGAGTAAAACAAAAATATCATGAAAGTAATTTCTGAGCATCTTTTTATGGGACTTTGAAAATTGCTTTTCATAACATAGGCAGCTTGAGAAACAATGTTAATCCACCATGAAAGTCGAGAACTTCGAAATGGTTCTCTCTCATTGCTCAGTGCATTGTACTTTTGCGTTGATTTGTGCGTAAACGAATGTAAACAGGCATTTATTGCCTTTGCAAATATTAAATCGTTTTTTTTTCTATGCATGATGATCTATTTTTTTTAAGAAATTGAGTGAGAGAGGTCGAAATAGAAAATGCGTAAATAAAGAAGGTTTTAATGCGTCAGATCAGATATGGATTTTTATTTATAATTTTTATCAATTATGAGATACACATGGTTTTGTATATAAATTAGATTTGTTTTCGGATTTGCGTTAAAAATTGAAATTAGGAAATTACACGGTTTACAGCGTTTTCTACTAATTTATATACAATATTATAAGCACTGTCAATGAAATTTATAAACATAAACAAAACGGGTGTAAACACAAAACGCTGCGGACGTTATAACAATCTTTGAGAAATATTACCAACATTAATAACGTGGTCTGTTGGCAGCGGTCGAAATGAGCGGCGGTCAGGCTGACAAACATTACAGAGACGAACAAATGTCCGTTCGTTTGATTTTGCTTGCTATTATAATATATATATTTTAGGAACAGTAACCACAAACAATAAACATCAGTATGTTATTATATACGTTTTTTTCTCTTCGCCTTTTTTTTATTTTATATTTTTGTCTCCAAATAATGAAGAGAATAAAATATTTATAAAAAGGGAAGACGTACAATAACTATGACTGTCGTTGCTGACATTATTGTCTTTTCCATAAATAAGAGCAAATGTATAGATCTTATTAGAAAACCTCACTAGCTAACAATAAAAAGTCGGTAGACATACTTTATGCTATCAAGTGTATTAAAGCCGATATGTATCTAAAATCTATATATGAATATATAAATGTACATACATACACTAAACTGATTTTGTTTTGTTCTTTTACTACTTGCCTCTGTACAATGCTCAAAATAAATGTGCGAGCTTGAAAATGTTTCTCTCTCATTGCTCATTGCATTACATACGTGCGTGGGTTTGTGCGTAAACGAATGGTAACAGAAGGATTTATTGCTCTTGCAAATATATTAAATAGTTTTTGTTCTTCTAGCATGTATGTTGATCTAATATTTTTTTTAAGGAATTGGGTGAGAGAGAGAGAGAGGGCGAAACAGAGAATGCGTAAATAACGAACATTTAGAAAAGCGGCATTGAGAAATATACGTGGTATATAAATGAGATTTGCGTATGCATTTGCGCGAAAAATAAATATTAGCATATTACATCGTTTGCTTCATTTTTTACTATAAAAATTTTCATTTTCAGTACAACTACTATGCACAATATTTTAAGCGCTGTCAATGAAAATTATGAAAATAATTGTAAGGGATGTAATAATTGCGTTGCAATCATAGTTGCCTTTTTCCAAAAATTAGATCGATAATATAAATTTTGTTAGAAAACCAGACATGTAATAAATAATAAATAGCCGCCAGGCATATTTTATTCTGTCCTAGTTTCATTTTTTCAAAGGGCATGGTTTGCCTACAGCGACATTTCAAAGTTTGCTTATATGTTAGCCTAGGTCCCATAAAAAAACTCTTTGGGCAAAACTTAATATAACCTGCACACCGTTGGAAAGGCCATTAATAGAGGATTCATTCTGTCCTAGTTTCATTTCTTCAAGGGACATGGTTTGGTCACAGTAGCTCCGTAAACTTTCGCTTTATCAACCTCATTTATGGCATAGTGTAAAAAAGTTTTGGTTTCGAATATTAGTTAATTTACATAAAGTCATGTTTTGTTTATAAGAATTTGCAAAAAAATTTGCGAAAAGTTCTATTTTACTTGTATTTTGAGGTAAATTCCTCCGAGATTTCGTTTAACAAAATTCTGTTAAGGGCTTTACAGAGCTCTGTAAAAAATTTTATTTCGTGTCTTTGCTAGTTATATTTAAATATAACTTCACACCCTTGCAAGAATTTGCAATGTTTCTGCAAAATTGAAAGCCGATCTCTGAATTTTTCTAATGAGGTATCAATAACATACATCCACACCGACGTCCAGGTGGACAGATATGGCGAGACAGATTCGAAATTTGATCTTGATCAAAATTTGTCTACTTTACAGGCTCTCTGAACATTAAGACAAAAAATTTTATCTTTAAACTTAAATCGTAGGTGTAAATATCAAGTTTAAAAAAAAATGTAGAGATGTCTTCTGGAAGGAGAAGGAACGTCCATTAATTTCTTGTAATACAGTTCTTCAGATCACTCATTAGCAAATCCTCGAAATTATTTACTTTGTTCAAAAAAAATTGGTAATATCAAAATCTGATGTATTTTGTACAATAGAGTATACAAAACTGGCGAATGCGAAAAATTAAAATTTTAAAAAATTGTCCAACTTTTGTTTTGCCGTAAAACACATTATTTGCTTTTCTCCTGAATAAATATAATGATAAAATTGGCAATTAATATCGTACTGAAAATAAGAGTTAAACATATGCAAT